CCCCAAAACCCCAAAACCCCAAAACCCCTTAATAAGAGTGATTTGTTTATAAGTAACAAAAAAAGAAAAAAGAGATTACTGCATTATAATGAAGAATTATTTTAAATTGTTTATAAATCGATTATATTATAAGGTTATCTGTGCAATATGGAACACTATAAAACTAGGGATTAAGATAACAGAGTTATGAGCCCGCTCAGATGCTAAAACTAATAATTCTACAATGATAATGCCAGCTTTAAAACCCGGAAAGAATCAATGATAAAGCTTACTTCTTGTTAGAGAACAGATGTGCCTGTAGGACGTATGACTCCTCAATATATTAGTGCTTCGAAAATATCATTTGTTGGTAGCAGTGGTAACCAACAAGAGAAGAGACAGTTAAGAGATAATTATAATGATACTTCTTTGCCTGATTACTCAGTAAATATATTGGATTAAGTAACGATTGATAGTTTTAGAGTGCGTGGAAGAATAAGAGAGGAAGTGTAAACAGCCAAGACAAAGCTTCTGCTAACTTAAAAAATTCTGAGCTCCCCAGTAGCATCTAAATTATGAAAGAAAACAGAGAAAAAATGCAAATAATGAGCATTGAAAAACCCTTTATTATTAAGAAAAGCAAGATCAAAAGAATTCAAGAGGCAGCAAGCAAAAGTGGTATGGGCAGTCCAATGGCTTAATCGCAGGTTTCTTCTCCATAAAATTCTCGTAAGCAAAGTACAGATACGACTAATATAAATAATAAAACGAATTCCGCTCTGAAAATTTAGGATTTTTAGAGTAAATTCAAGAAGTCAATGCAAAACAGCCGGACAAATATTAGAAAATAGATACATACTGAGAACAATAGCCCTGTGAGAGCATAGCTAGATAAGATGAATGTTTTACTGCCAACTGTCAGCAATTTCTAAGATGAAAGTACTGGCCCATGTATTACTTGTCAATAAAACGAATGCATCTGCTCTAATAATATATAGCAATCCCGAATCTTAAGATCAAAAGCTTCAAATAAGCGTAATAAATTCCACTAATCTGCTAAAAGCTCTATGATTACTGATGAAGACTTTACCGAGTCACATTAAAGCTCTCAAATTTTTAGAGACAAACTAGATGGCAGTCCAGAAAGTGATTAACTCGCAATAAGAAAACGTAAAAACTATCAATCTTTTGAGAAGCAAAATTTTACAAGTAACCTACCTAAAAAATAAACCACATAGAACTTTGATGCAATAAAAAAGCGAAACGCTCTTGGAGATAATGTGGAACCACCATAATCTGCCGGGAATAAATCAAAGTACTAGACTTAAAATAATCTCAATGCTATGAATTAATCGTCCACATTTGAAACTACGATTAATAATAATCCTGCTATCCTCGCATTATCAAATAGACCTTAGCTATCATAAGAGCCACTTAGAATGCATAGTGCTAATTTAAGCAATTCACCACTTGATGAGAGTAGTCACCAGAGAGATATAATTTCAGATTAGCAGTCTAACTATAATCAAATCAAGAATAATTAATATGCCTCTGTTGAACATGTCGCACACTTATAGCAAGAAATTGAAAGGTTAAAATAATTAGTAAAAACAAAGGATAAATAACCCAATAAATAATACAATATTGCAGTATATAAGCCACATGATAACGATAGTGTAGGAGGTGTTTTCTAAAAAAGATGACCTGGGACATCAGGAAAGCTTAGGTCATAAAGCAATTTAAGTTAAAGTACTCATTTAATTGATTCCAGCTTGATAGAGTCCAATAAGATTCTTAACCAATCGAGTACTAATTTAGTAGGCGTTTTTAATCAGCAAAATCGGATGGTTGTCCCTAATAGCTAGATTAGGTTATTAATATAAGAAAATAGTAAAAAGGTTTTCCCTTCAAAGAAAGATTCCACTGATTCCCTAAAAAACCCTTTAAATCAAAATAGTGAGGTAAGCTATTATTTATTGTTATAATTTCATAGTTGATTTAAAATCTTGAAGGAAGACATCCTTTTTAAATAATGATACCCTCTAAGCCATAGAGACCGAGTACTTCAGGCAATAACAGCAGGTCTTCTTCTATATAAGGAAGTAGACCAAGGAGTAAGGCTCATAGTCGAATGATTCAGATATCACAAGGTATATTACTATTCTCATCACTCTCTTAGAATAGATTTCATAAAACTCTCATATACTTATGGAACATGATCCAATAAATGGTAGACTCGGGTTTTCATACAAAGAACAGCAAATAGAACTTGATGAGGCCCATTATTAGCCTACTTTTATTGCCCAAGATATAGAAGAGATTAGAAATAATCCTGCTTCAAGGAAGGTTTTGAAATAGTTTTAGCTATTTTCTGGTGTGAGCCATGTTGACCCAATCACAGGATAGATTAAGTTGAACTAATCTCAGGCATAAGTGAATGTCCCAACTTATAAGCATATCAAAGAGTAAAATAATCTGACATTTGAAATCAAAGATGCCCCATCTGAGACTGATAATAATTACTAAGTCAAAGCAGGAGCGAAAAAATCATCTATATCTAGTCTTACAGGTATTATAAATGCTAACAAACTGCTAAATAAAACTCCGAAATAAACTGCAACAGCTAAGATGAATAATGATTTGATAACTGTATTCAAGAATGATACTAAAACTAATGTAAATTAAAGCCCTTCTAACTTAAACATTCCTAAAAAGCTATAAAATGATAATTCTCCTAAAATGACTTAGCCCTAAATGCAAGCTATCAGTAGTGAGTTGGAAAAGAAGTTCAAACTAGTTTAAACACCACCTCTGAAACCCTCAAGGAAATCTGCTCTAATTAACAGATAAACAGTGCCTGTAATTAAGATCTAAAGATCTAACAGCAACTCTTTTCTTTAGAATTAGACTGATATTTAGTCTCTATAGAGTCAAGTGATGAATGCTGCAAATAATAACAGACGTGACAGTGAGCATCTCACAGTATCAAAGAATTTAGCAAATATCAAAAACTTTCGCAGAGAGTCTCATGAGAGCAATTATCATCAAAAGCTATCTTTGACATCAGTTCTAACTCCTAGCTTTGCAAAGAATTAAGCTGACACTCCTAGCGGTAGGTCAGACTTCAGCTTTGCTGTGAAAGATATGTTTTCTGAAAGAAGTTCAGGAGGGTCTAGTCAGAACTTTTCTGAGGGAAGAAAAAAGAATCTTAGCCGTGTCCTAAATCATCAGAGAAATAACACTTAAGGTTATAATAGAAATCCTTTGGCAGGAGGTAATATAATCAGAGTGAACAGCAATGATAAGAAAAGTAGGACTCCAAGTGACAATTCTAGTCTGTATTATCACCAATAATCTTCAAATTTTTCATTCCACTAACATCTTACAACCTCTAAAGAGATATCTCTTAATATGAGGCCAACAGACATTGTAGATCAACGAATAAATAAGGATCTTATGAGTTAGTCAGGATTATAAAACTTTCATCAGAGCGGGCACAGCCCTCCTAAGTTTGTACGAAAATAAGCATACGAGTACCTTTAGTCCAAGGTAGTTACTTGCACAATTAAAGCCCTTCATCCCAATCATTTATATAAGAATTGAGTCCGTTAGTAATAATTGTTATTCATTGGAAAATAGAATTCTATGATTTATATAGACTTTAGTCATTATGTAAGTAAACTTTAAATAATAAAAAGTCCTTCCACTGATAATGTTAATTTTTAATAACTCTAATAAGCACAATGAAATCTTGACTTCAGGGGTTTTGGGGTTTTGGGGTTTTGGGG